GTCAGCTGACGACGGCGCCCGCCGAGGCCCAAACCCCGCCGTGCGCAGGCGCCGGGCGGAGGGGTGGGGTGAGCGGTGCGTGGGTGCAGAAGTGTGGGCTGTGTGGGTGCATGGGTGCAGTGGTGCATGGGTGCATGGGTGCAGAGGTGCATGTGTGCAGAGGTGCAGGGTGTATGGCTGCAGGGTGCATGGGTGCAGAGGTGCAGGGTGCATGTGTGCAGAGGTGTATGGGTGCAGAGGTGCAGAGGTGCATGGGTGCAGAGGTGCATGGGTGCAGAGGTGCAGGGTGCATGGGTGCAGAGGTGCATGGGTGCAGAGGTGCAGGGTGCATGGCTGCAAGGTGCACGCATGCAGAGGTGTACGGGTGCAGAGGTGCAGGGCGTACGGGTGCAGAGGTGCACGGTGCAAGGTGCAGATGTGCAGAAGCGCACAACGCAGCAGTGTAGGATGCATGGTGCAGAGGTGCAGGGTGTACTGCGCAGGCTGCAGAGGTCCATGGCTGCAAAGGTACTGGTTGTGCAGTACAAGGTGCAGAAGTGAGGGTGCAGAGGTGCTGGGTGTGCAGTACAAGGTGCAGGGTGCACAGTGCAGGAGTGCAGAGTTGCATGGAGTGGCACCGCAGAGCTGCACAGTGCAGAGGTGCAGGAGTGTAGGATGCAGGGATGCACAGTGCAGAGGTGCAGGGTGCAGAGCTATGGCTGTCCCAGCTCTGCCCTGGCCCTCCCGCTGTGTCACCTAGCGGGACCCCGGGCACCAGCATTGCCCCACTGGGCTTTTCTTAGTGCTGCCAGACGTGGGAGCAGAGATGGGGCTGCTGCCAGCCCCGAGCTGTCCGCTCAGCTGAGGGGCTGGGTTCGCCTGCCCACACTGTGGCAGCCAGGCCGTTAAGGAGGGGTAGAGCCCTCACAAGCATGGGGCAACTGAAACCCCTCGTTCCCTCGTCCCTAGTCGTTTCCCCCATTGGCCGTATCTCCATAGCATCGCATTTAATCTGCAGCCAGGCCCCCCTTGGAAACCTTTGCAATCTCTTGGGGCACTACTGGGACTCCCAGAGTATTCGATGCTTCTCCTAAACCCCAGGGGGGATTTGGGATTTTTGCAGCATGCAGTCAGCGATGCTGCCGCACAGGGAGGGATGAAGGCTTGTGTGTCCGGCCAGGCCCAGGGTGTCACACACCTCCAGCCTTTGGTGCTGAGGAAGAAAGAAATCCTTTATATTTATAATTTTGCATGTTGATGGCAAGCTTTGAACTCAGCAGCAGCTCCTCACAGCACCAACGGTCTCTTGCATGCACCTTGCACCCAACTCAGGTGCCTTGATGCCAGCAGGGCACCTGTATATTGCTATTGCAGTAATAATATTGTGGTCTGGATTAAAATGTACTGCTATAAGCATGGCAGCAGGGGAATCTTCAACCCAAACTGTGCCGGGGGAGCTTTGGTACAGCAGGTTGGAGAATAACTGGGACAGAGAAAACCAGGAGGCAGAGAAAGCACGGGGACACAGCTGGCATCCCCCAGGCCTGGGTATCCCCGCGCCCTCGGGGACCTAAGAATGTCAGAAAGATGCTTGAGTATGGAGCAAAACTGCATCCAAGCCTGTTGCTTCTTCCTGATTTTCCAGGAGCCCTTTTTCATCTTCCAGAGAAGCACAAAATACACTGGAAGATGCAAAGATGCAGCCCAACAAAAGGTGCTCAGTACTTAGGCAATTTCCCCAGCCTCTGTAATTCTGTGAAATAACAGCCCTGAGTGCCAGAGCAGTTTATTTCTGAGCAGTGAAGTCTGGAGGGACCGGACAAGTGCTGGGAAGCAGGAATCAATACTCTGCATCCCAACAGTGTTATCCCTGTGTTATTGCACACCAGGATCTACTGCAGTGGTACGCAAGTTAAGAAGGGAGTGGAGTCTTTTAAGGAAAAAGTTGCTTTTTTGTTTTTTTCAGGGTTTTTGCACCAGCATTAAATACCAACATAAGAGAAGAGGACAAGGAGCCTCCGTGCCTGACACTGCTGGGGCCAAGCCCTGAAACGCACCATCCAGCACCACATGGGACGTGTCCTGGTGCTGTGTCTTCCCAGAGGGCTGTCTGCCTTGGTTAGCATCTCTCTGCAGCACACCCCTCCTTCCTTCCCTCTGCCTTCCTCCTCCCTTCCTTCCTCCCTCCTTCCTCCCTCCCTCTTTCCCTCCTTCTGCCCTCCTTCCTCTGTCTTTCTTCCTTTCTCCTTCCCTCTTTCCTCTTTCCCTCCTTTCCTCCTCCCTCCCTTCCTCCTCCCTCCTTTCATCCTCCCTTCCTCCTCCCTCCCTTCCTCCTTCCTTCCTCCCTCCATCCTTCCTGCTTCCTCTCTCCTTCCTTCCGTCCCCTCCTCCTTCCTCCCCTCCCCACCACCATGTGAACCCAAGGCCGAGCAGCGGGTCACCCTCTCCGTTCCCCACCCTGGGTCGCAGCTCCTGATGTTCAAGGGTCCCTTTCAACCCCCCTGCAGTGCCGCCCACAGCACCCCGACCCTCCCCATGCCCGGCACGGGCTGTCCCCCCCTGGGCAGGGCTGCTCCAGCCCCACGGGCTCCCTGTGGCCTTTTCTCCCTGGCTCCTGCCTTTCCCTTCCTCGAGGCAGCGGCCGTTTCCCTTCTCCAAATCCTCAGCCCCATCCCCTCGCCCTGCCCATCTCCAGATGAGAGCTGCTGCCTCCCCCTGCCCACGCCGATGTCCCTGTCCCCCTTGTCCCTGTCCCCCTCGTCCCTGTCCCCTTTTCAGGAGCAGCAGGCAGGGCCAGGCTGCCGGGAAGCCAGCATGATGCTGAACAGTGTTGACGCTGTCAATATTTTGGCTGCAAAGGCTGCAATGGGCTCTGCGGTAACCGGCCAGCAGGTGCAGGCCCTCGCTTTTGCAGCAGCCTCCATCCAAGCCCGAAGAGCCCTTCCCACAGCTGATCCGCCAGGATTTGGCCTCTCCTCTTTTTTTTGGGGTGTGATTGGTGACGCAAATCAATGCAGATACAAACATCAGTACGGGTGCCTGAAGAGCAGCAGCAAGGCACTGATGGTGATGTTTTATTGCCCTCATAACATGGGGCTGCTACTGCGCTGCTGTGACGTACCACGGTAACGAGCGCATCCTCGTCAGCCTATTTACAGGCGGCTGCAAGGCCCGCTGTCCTCCCGGTGAGGGCTCGCACCCGGCGGCGAAGCCCGTTTGGCTGGGGCGGCTTTCAAGAGAGGAGCCACGCGTGCAATGGGGACCGAGTGCTGCCAGAGCAATGCCACCCCCGGGGCTGGTTTGGGGAGGTGCTGAGCACCCCCAGGCACCACCTCGTTTCACGTCTGCTCTCCCACAGCGGCCGGGCAGGGCTAGGGGACGTGCTGGGGTGGGGAGCAGGGACACATCCCCCTCCTGCTGCGGGACAGGGCTGTCGCGGGGAGGCTGAGACTGATGCTCTCGAGACGGGCGCTCGGGACTGTGAAGCTGCAGCCGAGGAGGACCCGTGAGCCAGAAGGGTGCTGGGCACCAAGCGAAGCAGCGTGGGGCAGCTCGGGGAGCCCTGCGGGCCGTGGCAGCCCCCCGGTGCAGGGTCTGTCCCCAAAGCGAAGCTTTTCTCACCAGCCCTCCTTGCAAATCCGAATCGGGCTGGCTTTTCTCGCAGGCAGTTAGCATGAAACATTGATGGCCTTCAGCTGCGTGGCTCATCCGGAGCCTGTGCGGCCTCTACATATTTAATTTTTTCACCATTAAAAACGCATGAAGCGATGATCCCTTTTGCACCGTCCCTAATTCACTTCCATCGCCCATCTCGGTGTGGAGCGGAGCATCTGCCGGGGAGCAGGCAGGTGGATGGGGGGGCTGCTGGAGGTTTCAGAGCTGCTTCAGTCTGGCAGGGAGAGGCATCCACTGTCCTAGAAAAAGCAAACGAGGAGAAGGTGACCAACAGGGTCCTGGAGAAAAGCAGCAGGACCCACTGCTGTAAGAGCCTGGGCAAAAGGCTTTGAGTTGGAGAGAGAATAAACAACCCCTCAGCACTGGGAATGGGAGCAGGGTGCAGCATGGGGACCCCCGGCAGCCCCAGGAGCGGAGCTGGGGGCCATCACCTGCCCCTTCAGATGCAGCATGCAGAGCAGAGCCACCCATCCAGCACACAGACTGGCTCTGGGTGCAGACTAGGAGCCTCCCACTGGGAAACAGCCCCTCACCTCCCTCCCACCCAGCGCAGCAGCCTGGGGGGCCTTTCACCTACGCAGCCCCTCGCCCCCATTCCCTTGGGCTCCCAGCTTGCCAGGAGCAAAGGGAGGAGAGGAATGACAGGACAGCCATGCTGCTCCCATCAGATTTTGGCATATTGTGGAGGAGGTGCTTCATCCAGAAAGGAGAAGGTCTGCAGAGGGACTGCTCTTGCTTGGCAGATGCCCTGAGATCAGCGGTGCCAGCAGATGCTCAGGGATGTGCTGTAGGTGCAGGCAGACCCCGCAGACCTGCAGGCAGGGAGGCAAGGCAGGAATGACCTGTAGTTGCTGTTATCACAAAGAAAAAATCAGATATTTTAAGGGAAAAAAAAGCCTTAAAAATTTTAAGATGCCTATAAAAATGCCCACTTTTAAGTACAGCCTGAACCATGAGTTCTCCAGGTAGCAATGTCGGATCAGTGCAGTGCTGCTGGGAGCACCTCTCAGCCGTTGGAGAGTACTTTTCCTCCAACTTGGCTCTTTGCCTGTAAGTACAACATACGGTTGGTAATTCTGCCATGCATTTTCAGGCTAAAAGTCAATCAATAACAACCATTTCAAAGGGGGACAGATTGGAAACGCTGAAGCACCACAACTGCGCCTGCAACGATCACATTTTGTGCTCCTGCTGTGCAACTGTGTACATAGCAGGCATGAGGTGCTGCGGGGTGCAAGTCTGCACCACCCCAAATTTCTCTCAGCGGTTTTGCCGGCCAGTGCTAAAGAAGTGCCGCATACACAGCCAGCACAGCCCCGGCACGCCCATCCCCGA